TTTGGCAGGAAAGACAGCTACCGAACAGGTAACTAAAGGTGACTCAGGTCAGAGCAGGTGACCAGGGGAACAGATGTGAACTACTGATTAGAGCTAGCAGGAAAACTGTTTACTGAAACTAAGGGCAAGGAGATGAAGAGAATGAGGAAGTTAAACTTTAAAATGGAGAACAAAGAACACAGAAACTGAACATACTGGCATACTGATTCTTTGAAGAGAAATTTGGATTTCACTGTATTCAACATGTGTCTATTAATACACCTGGTATTTTTCTGAGTTCACTCCTCTGTCACACTGTACCTAAGACTAGCATACCTAGTCCTTCTCTCACTCTTGCTCCATCTATACCAATATCTCCAAATGCAGCTTAAACTTCATCTCCTCCATGAAGCCCTCCTTATCCACTACAGAACACAATCCTCTCTTCTTCATCTACATTTATTAAAATTATTATTCATGATGTGATTTGACAATGAATTTATTCTTCTTCAGGACAAGAAAGGAAGTAAAGAGTAAGTAACAAAATGATAGAGTGAAGTGTAAGAACATAAATTGCCTTCTCTTGTATAAACTACCAGGAAGGGAGTTTGGAGAGAGATGAATGCTATGTTTCAATGTTTGTCCCCTTCAAAAATCCCCATGTTAACATTTAGTTGCCTTTGTTACAGTGTTGTGAGGTAGGACTTTTTTTTTTTTTCTTTTTTTTTTTTTGAGACAGAGTTTCGCTCTTGTTACCCAGGTTGGAGTGCAATGGCACGATCTCGGCTCACCGCAACCTCCGTCTCCTGGGTTCAGGCAATTCTCCTGCCTCAGCCTCCTGAGTAGCTGGGATTACAGGCACGCGCCACCATGCCCAGCTAATTTTTTGTATTTTTAGTAGAGACGGGGTTTCACCATGTTGACCAGGATGGTCTCGATCTCTTGACCTCGTGATCTACCCGCCTCGGCCTCCCAAAGTGCTGGGATTACAGGCTTGAGCCACCGCGCCCGGCCGAGAGGTAGGACTGTTAAGAGGTGATTGGGCTATGAGGACTTCACCCTAACAAGTGGGATTAATCTCAGTTTAAAAGGGCAAGTTTGGTCCTAAAACAAGACTCTGGAATTTCTACTTGTGGAAAGATAGAGTAGATATACTTTTCCTTATTTCTACTACAAAATACCACACACACACACACACACACTCACACACACACCTGAAAACATAAATACAACAGAGAATATCACTAAAATAAAAAGGCAGTTATCTGACAAAAGCAATAAAATTGACAACCCTTTAGCAAGACTGACAGAGAGAGGGGTGGGTGGGGGGAGGGAGAAGGACACAAATTACCAATATAAGAAATAAGAAACAAAACAAGGTTTTCAGTACAGACCTGCAGATATCAAAAGGATAATAAAGACATACTATAATTAATTCAACAAAAAGAAATTTGGCAACTTGCATAAAATGAACCAATTCTTCAAAAATCACAAACTACTACAAGTCACCCAATATGAAATAGATAATTTGAATACCCTTATAAGTATTAAGGAAATAGAATTTATGTTAAAATTCTCAGAGAAGATGTCTCGCAGCCCAGATAATTTCGCTGAATGCCTCTACTAAATGTTTAAAGAAGAATAGCTGGGCACGGTGGCTCACGCCTGTAATCCCAGCACTTTGGGAGGTCGAGGCGGGCAGATCATGAGGTCAGGAGTTTGAGACCAGCCTGGCCAATATAGTGAAACCCCGTCTCCACTAAAAATACAAGAAAATCTAGCGGGGCATCACAGCACGTGTCTACAGTCCCAGCTACTCGGGAGGCTGAGGCAGGAGAATTGCTTGAACCTGGTAGGCAGGGATTGCAGTGAGCTGAGATTGCACCACTGTATTCCAGCCTGGGCAATAGAGGGATACTCCATCTCAAAAAAAAAAAAAAGAAAGAAAAGAAAAGAAAAATTAACATCAATTTAATATCAATTCTACACAATCTCTTTTAGAAAACAGAAGAGAACACTTCCCAATTTACTTTCAAACCTACTGTTATATTGATACTCAAACAAGATCAAGACAGTGCCAAAAAAATTTACAGACCAATATCCATCCTGAATATAAAAGTGAAACTGCTTAACAAAATATTAGCAAATAAGGTTCAGCAACATTTTTTTTTTCTTTTTTTGAGACAGAGTCTCACTCTGTCACCAGGCTGGAGTGCAGTGGCACATTCTCAGCTCACTGCAACCTCCGACTCCTTGGTTCAAGTGTTTCTCCTGCCTCAGCCTCCTGAATAGCTGGGACTACAGGTGCCCACCACCATGCCAAGCTAATTTTTATATTTTTAGTAGAGAGAGTGTTTCACCATGTTGACCAGTATGGTCTCGATCTCCTGACCTTATGATCTGCCCGCCTTGGACTCCCAAAGTGCTGGGATTACAGGCATGAGCCACTGTGCCCAGCCAAGACCCTGTCTCTTAAAAAAGAAAATAGCCGAGTGTGGTGGCTCATGCATGTAGTCCCAGCTACTTGAGAGGCTGAGGCAGGAGTATCCCTTGAACCCTGGAGTTCGAGGCTACAGTGAGCTATAATCATTCTATTGCAGTCTAAGTGACAGAGCAAGACCTGGTCTCAAAAAATAAAATAAAATAAAAACTAAAAAATTATGTGTGCACAGGTGCAACAGGGCCAATATTTTAATTGTTTTAATTATAGAATCAGGTTTCCACAATACCTGCATTTAAAGACAAAGCATTACAAAATCACTTTTGAGAATCAAGTATCATCAAGCAAAGGGTAATTTAGGCCTTAACATCTTAGGTTGATGATCTGCTTGGTGTCATGTCAGACTGATGGATTTGACCTAGTCTGTAGCCTCTTCCTCCAAGACAGCATGAGGGCGCTTTTCTGAATGGATGTTGATGTTGAAATACAAGTATAAATACAGAATTTCCATAGGTTCTGACCTGTGAAACCACAACCTGAACATTAGATTTGATATTTCTTTCTCTTTTTTTGACAAAGTCTCACTCTGTCACTCAGGTTGGAGTGCAGTGGCTTGATCTTGGCTTGCTGCAGCTTCTGCCTCCCAGGGTCAAACAATTCTTGTGCCTCAGCTTCGTGAGTAGCTGGGATTACAGAGGTGCGCCATCACACCCAGCTAACTTTTTGGTGTTTTTGTAGAGATGGGGTTTCGCCATGTATCCCAGGCTGGCCTCAAACTTCTGGCCTCAAGCAATCACCCACCTTGGCCTCCCAATGTGTTGGGACTACAGGGGTGAGCCACCACGCCTGACCCTATATTTGTTATTTCTCTTCAAACGAGCAAACCAACCTGGATTTACAACTAATTCCTTGATGCCAATCTACTTGTTTTTCCAGTCATGTGTTCTAGGAAGGCATAAACACAGTATCAACGCTGAAGTCTCTTCTGAGCATATCTTAGCAGTTCTAGCCAGAGTAGGAGGTGTGGGCAAGGGACAAAATTCCCAGGCAAATAGGGTGCCTGGATATTTAGCACATTACTGTCTTCCTGCCAAAGGCTCTTGCTGTGGATGTTGCTGATGCCTTGCCCAGATCCCTTTACCTGGCCGAAGCTTTCATTCCCCAGTGGCTATGAATTTTTGAGGCTAATAGCACTTTCCTTTTCCAGAGAATTTCCCTAAGCTACATGAAAGCCACTCAGGTCAGGAGGTTATGCTTCCCATCCCCAACCATGGCGGCCACAACCAATGACTGACTGGCGTGGTGCAAAAGGCCCTGCCCCTCTCTTGCCCTTGTCTCAAGACAGAAGAAATTCTGTGGTAGGATACGTGCTCCAGGGCTTCCCCCAGGGACCAGGCTGAACCTGGTCCACGGCTGAGGTCACAGCCTTGCTTAGCTTCCCCATCCCCTTGTCCAGTCTTGCTTCCCTCACTCCCTTCTGAAAGCATTCCTTCAGTAAATCGCTTTCCCAAGACTCTGTTTCTCAGGCTTTGCTTCCTAGCCTAAGATGGTTAGTACTGGGAGGTTGCAGGATGCAGACTCTAAGGATGGAATTAGAGAGGTGGGTGCTGCTTGGTTGCAGAGCCAGCAGCATGGCAGTGGGGACAACACCTCCTGTGGTCTGTGGTTGTTGAGGCTTTTACCTGCCGTGAACTGAGGCAATACATGGGAGGAGGAGAGCGGACCAGCCAGGGCAGTGTCTCTGGTGTTTGACAGTTGCGGGGAAAGCAGACGCTGAGTGCCGTGGATGCCTCGAAGAGAGGAACAGGCTGAGATAACATGCTGCAGTCTGTTAACAGCTCAAAGCAAAGTGTTAGAGAGTCGCTCTTTGGGCAACATTGAGAGAGGTACAAATGATTAATAGCTATCTTCTGTAGTCCAAAGGCAGAAAGAGTTGAAAATCAGGTACAAGAGTGGCAGAATTTCAAAGAAGGTTAAACTCTTGGCCAGTCTTCAGTATCAAAGTCAGGATTGTGACAAGGACAGGGCAAGGCCCTGAGACTTGGAACGGGGATGCGTGGGTGAAGAAGCTTGAGAAGGCTGGGCACAGTGGCTCACAGCTGTAATCCCAGCACTTTGGGAGGCCAAGGCAGGTGGATTGCCTGAGGTCAGGAGTTCGAGACCAGTCTGGCCAACAGAGTGAAACCAGTTTTGTATTTTGTATCTACCAAAAATACAAAAAATTAGCTGGGTGTGGTGACACATGCCTGTAATCCCATCTACTCGGGAGGTTGAGACAGGAGAATTGCTTGAACCTGGGAGGTAGAGGTCACAGTGAGCTGAGATCATGGCATTGCACTCCAGTCTGGGTGGCAAGAGTTAAACTCCATCTCAAAAAAAAAAAAAAAAGAAGCCTGCGAAAATACCCCAAGTTCACCTGAGATGCCTGATTCTGCGACAGAGGTGGACTCCTTATTGGGATATAAGGCTCCAAGCCCCCAGGCTTGAAAACTACCCAGAGGATTCCCATGAGGCAGTGACCTGTCCTTGCTAGGCTCTCTTCTAATTACCCCATCTTGGCTGCCCGATTTGTCAGTAGGACCAATCAGTATTAGCCAATGGGGGAAGGGCTAGTCTGACTAAGGGAGGCAGGCACTTATATATCAAATAACTGCAGAACCTTCTGACTCACTGGCAGGAACCAGGAGTATATACTGAAGGTTGGATCAAAGGGAGCAAGGACGAAATATCAAGCAAGACAAGGAAGAGGTTATTAGTGTAGGCTTCATATACGATCCCTGTTGTCCACCACAGGAATTTGTACTGGGGAAAGAGTCCTGGGAGACTCATATGCTGCTGAAATGGCCCTCCTTGAAAGCCTAGAAAATTATATTCCAAATTTAATGAAGACGGGATGTCAGAACTGCCAGGCAGATTGTGTGGAGGGAGGGGTGTAAGTGTCCAGAGAAGTAGGGGAATAACTAAAAAAATTGAATTATAAGAGCAGGAAACCCACTAGCAGATAATGTGCCTTGATGGAACATTATTTGCCAAAGCAATTGGGATATGCTGGTGAGGAGCTATAGCATCATTAAAGAGCTTGTGGTGGCTGTCACGTTGTCAGTAGGAGATGCTGTGAGGGAAAATAAGTATCTAGAAGCAATGGGGATGACAGAACTCTGGAACAGTGGAGGCCAGATGGTAGCAGTTGATAGTCATAAGCAAGGTATTCAGAACTACTGTCATAGGCACGAAGCTGGAATGGCAACCTGGTGCCTTGACCATATGGGACCAACCATAGGGATCTTGGGAGATTGCTACACACACACACACACACACACACACACACACACACACACACAGTCCAGAATGGATGTGCAGAAGGGCGAGGTCAGCTGCCTCAAAAGAAACTCACAATCCCTTGTTCCGTTTCTAGACCTAACCCTCAAGAAGAGGCTGTTTCTCGTGAGAAAGATGATTTTAACACCACCATGTGACATGGTTAGGCTTTGAATCCCCACCCAGATCTCATCTTGAATTGTAGTTCCCACAGTTTCAAATGTCATGGGAGGGATGTGGGGTAGGTAACTGAATCATGGGGATGGTTACCCCCATGCTGTTCTTGTGATAGTGAGTGTGTTCTCACAAGATCTGATGGTTTTATAAGAGACTTCCCCCACCTTTGCTCTGCACTTCTCTCTCCTGCTGCAGTGGGAAGAAGGGCATGTGTGCTTCCGCTTCTGCCATGATTGTAAGTTTTGTGAGGTCTCCCTAGCCATGTGGAACTGTGAGTCAATCAAACCTCTTTTCTTTGTAAATTACCCAGTCTTGGATCTGTCTTCACAGTGGCGTGAAAATGAACTAATATACCACGAGACAAGATACAAGCAATTCCCCTAGTCTTTCCCAAAGTAACCTATAACAATTTACTTTTGTACAGTAGGGAAGGGAAATAGATGAATCTTTCAAGGAAAATTGAATACAGTGGCCAAATTGTCCCTGCTTCCTAGGAACTACTCTAAAAATATCATGGCCTCTGTGTTAAGGTAGAGGTATACAGAAGTCAAGTAATAAATGACCCATGTTCTCACTGGTTTCTAAATGTATAATTGGAATAGCCAGACCTAGCAGTCGGAAGAACTCTCGTGTTGGTTCTTTGACCAATAATAGCAATCGCAAGCCAAATAGAGAGAGGCCAAATAGAAGTTTTTGAAGTTGCTTCTCTCAGGAAAGATAGTAAATAAAAATCCACATTGCATCTAAGGGGACTAGCAGAGATTAATGCCACTCTTAATGACTTTAAGGATACAAGAGTAATGGTCCCCACTGATATCTATTCAATTCACCAGTTTGATATCTGAAACACTCAGCTAGACAGGGCAAATTACAGTAGGTTCCTGCAAACTCAACAAAGTTATAGCTCCACTTGTAGCTACTGGGAGGGGTGGGATGTGGGATGTTAGATGCGAGATTTTCCTAGAGCAGATTATGGCCTCAAGTGCATAGGCTTTGGCTAGGTGAGCACATTCTTTTCAATAACCATCATGAAGGAGTTTCAGAGACATCTTACATTTATACAGAAGGAGTGACAATATGCCTTTATGGTCTTGCCCGAGAGCTATATTAATTCTCCAGCTATGTGTCACAATGTAGTCAGAAGGGACCTGAACCATTTGGACATTCCACAGACTGTTACATTGATTCACTCTATTGATGATATCATGTGAAAAACAATAAGAACTTGATGAGTAAGAAGTGGCATGTACTCTGAAGACTATGATTAGATACAATAACCCCAGAGAGTGAGTGAGAAACTCTACAAAGATTCTGGGGCCTGCCAGATGTGAGAAATATTTAGAGGTCTAAGGAGCTAAGCAAGCCAGGGCATTTCATCCAATGTAAAGGGCAAGTTAGTTATTGCACCTTGCACTTCTACCACTAAGAAAGAAGCATTGTACTTGGTGGGGCTTTTCAAGTTTTCTTGGCAACGTATTCTTTACTTAGGAAGATTGTTCTGACTTTATTCATTAGGTGATATGGGAAGCTTCCTGTTTGGGGGGTGGAGCCTGGGACAAGAATGGTCTGTACAGTGGGAACAGGTTGTGGTATAACTAGTCTTATTTTTTGAGCCATATGGCTTAGTAGATCCCATGGTAGTAGAGATAGATACAGTCCAGAAACAACATGGAGTCCATGGCAATCTCCAATAGGGGAGTCACAGGACAGATCCCTAGGGCTCTGGAGAAAGACTATGCCATTTGTAACAGAGAAAGGGCCCCCACTAGAAGTAGATCCTGACGTGCTGTGTAGCCCTGGCAGGCACAACCATGGTAGAGTGTTTACAGGGACTATCAGCTAACATTGCCGCTTCTTAATAGAAGAGGGAAGAGTATGGTTGGCACTCACATGACCCACTGGGGTGCCTCTTGGTATGCCTGTGTCCACACTCAGTTATAACTTGCCCTGTGAAGCAACTGGCCTGATAAGTATATGGTGAACAGGGGGTCAAAAAGCTCAGGGATGAGGGCCTGGGACACAATAAAGCAGAAATGCAAGTGAAGGAAAATCTAGAACGTGTTGTGTAGGAGGGAGATCATGTATCACCTAAAGCTTTAGGACCAAATGCACCACATGGCTGTAGTTCATCACCCTAATTTGCCTTTTGGAAGTTTCCTCAGAAATCATGATGTTCCTATGTAGCAAACAATATGAAAAGCAAGAGAACCTGGGCAAGACAAGAGATGGACTCCACTGGGTGTCGATAGCGATCTGTTTAGATCCCCTTATCCAGGCAGATGGACCCAAATTACAGTGAATGGTGACTGCTAACCACTCCCCATTGCCTCCTCCTCCAGAACTTGGCCTCTGGTTGAATAGCAGCTGCCTCCCTGGAGTGGATGTCCTTCTGCTCCCCTTCCCACCTCTCCCTCAGCAGCCAGTGACCAATAACTGATTTATGCAGAGTACAAAAGTCTATTTCCCTTATCTTAAGACAGAACCAGCTCTCTGGTGCAACGTGGACTCCAGAGCTGCCCTCAAGACTAGATGGAAGCTGGTTTCGCCCCAGACTATTTTGTTACTTAGCTTTCTTTCCATGCCCCACCCTCCTTCTCCAATGCCCCTTCTTCTAAAGCCCACCTCAATCCATCACTTTGACAAAAATCCCCATCTCTGGCCCCATCTCTTCTCTGAACCCTGACCTAGGACACTTACCCACCCCTCTGTATGGCTCTTCCATATGGGGTACCCTTGTGGTTCCATGCTTATAAGGGTACCCAGGGGGTACCTTATGCTCAGCATATTGAGGATGATACTGTATTTCTTCTTGCACCCTAGTTTGTCAGCCTTGAGAATGAAACTAGAATGCAAATGTTCTTTTTCCCTAACCTGTCACCTTGATGTATCCATTATGCGTGCATATCAGAATCATTCACCAGCAATCACACAACATATTGTAAATACCGATTTTATATGTAGTGCAGAAAGCACTCCATTATATACCTTAAAAATTTTTGGCTGGAATTTAAGTATTATCCACCATTAGAAATTATTGATCAGAGTAGGTGGTAGATTTCCTCTTCCACTTTCCTTTTTCTTTTTTTTTTTTTGAGACAAAGTCTCATTCCGTTGCCCAGGCTGGAGCGCAGCGGTGCAGCCTCGGCCCACTGCAAGCTCTGCCTCCCGGGTTCAAGTGATTCTTGCACCTCAGGCTACCAAGTAACTGGGATTACAGGCACCCACCACCAAGCTCAGCTAATTTTTTTATGTTTAATAGAAAAAGGATTTCACTATGTTGACCAGGCTGGTCTCAACCCCCTGACCTAAAGAGATCCGCCTGGCTCCCAAAGTGCTGGGATCACTGGTGTGAGCCACCGTACCCAGTCCACTTTCTTTCTTTACTTAAACATCTAAGTTAACCAAATGTCTCTTTCTAAAGGCACTGACTTGCTGAGATGCCCCATATAAATATTGCCTTCTTGTTGGGCCATTTCATCAAGGACAGTGTGATACTTTTTAAATATAGTGTGAGGATTATAAGCCTTATGAATCAAAGTTTGTTTTTCATTTTTTGCCTATAGATGTCCAATTCCTCCAGCACCATTTGTTGAAAACACTTTTTTCTTCATTGAATTGCTTTCATACCTTTGTCAAAAATAAGTTCGGCATATTTATATGGGCTTATTTCTGGGTTTCTGTCTCTGTTCATTTGATCCCTGTCTCTTATCCCTCTGTCGAAACCACACATCTTTGATTTCTATGGCTACATAAGTATCGAAATGGAGCAGACTGCTGCTTCCTCCCAATTTATTCTTTTTTCAAAGTGTTTTAGCTATTTTAGTTCCTTGCCTGAACTTTCATGTAAATTTTAGAATAATCTTGCCTATATCAACAAAACTCATTGCTGGGAAAAACCTGTATATCAATTTGGGAAGGCTTGACATCTATGTCTTTATTCATAGACACACATCTATGAATAATGTGTGTCTCTCCATTTATTTAAATCTTTTTGATTTCTGTCATCAGTGTTTCATAGGTTTTAGCATATGAGTCCTGTATGCTTGTATTAGAGTAACACCTATTTCATTTTTTGGGTGATTGTAAGTGGTATTATATTTTTAATTTTGCTGTCATGTGTCCATTGCAAGCATATGGAAATACAATTGATTTCTGTGTCTGTTCACCTTGAATTCTGTGATTTTGCTGAGCTCCCTTATTAGTTCTAGGAGGGTTTTTGTTTTTTTTTTTCTTTTAAGATTTCTGAGGATTTTCCACACAGACCATCACAATTATGTCAACTGCCAACAGAAGTTTGTTTGTTTCCTTCTGAACTATATGACTTTTATTTCCTTCTCTTGTCTTATTGCACTGGCTAGAACTTCCAGCATTCTGTTAAGTGACAATAGTAAGAATGATATTGTTGCTTTGTTTCCAATGTTTAGGGAGAAAACATGCAGCCTTTGACCATTAAGTATAATTGTAGCAGGAGTTTTTTGGTAGATTCTTTAGAAATCTAGTTGAAGAAGTACATATTGCCACCTATTCTTATTTTTCTGAGAATTTTCATCATGAATAGATTTTAAAGTTTGTCAAATGAATTGTATGTACCGATTGATATAATAATGATTTTTCTTGTTTTACTGTTGATGTGGTGAGTTTCTTGATTTATTTTGAATATCAAACCAGTCTTGCTTCCTGGGAATAAATTCCACTTGGTCATGGTGCATAAATCTTTTATTTATTTATTTTTTTTTTGAGACAGAGTCTCGCTCTTGTTGCTCAGGCTGGAGTACAATGGCTCAATCTTGGCTCACTGCAACCTCTACCTCCCAAATTCGAGCGATTCTGCTGCCTCAGCCTCCCGAGTAGCTGGAATTACAAGCACCCACCACCACGCCCAGCTAAGTTTTTGCATTTTTAGTAGAGACGGGGTTTCACAATGTTGGCCAGGCTGGTCTCGAACTCCTGACCTCAGGTGATCCACTCACCTTAGTCTCCCAAAGTGCTGGGATTACAGGCATGAGCCACTGCGCCCAGCTCATGGTGTATAATGCTTATTAAATGTTGCTGAACCGGCTGGGCACCATGGCTCACGCCTGTAATCCCAAAACTTTGGGAAGCCGAGGTGGGCGGATCATGAGGCCAGGTGATCGAGACCATCCGGGCCAACATGGTAAAACTCCGTTTCTACTGAAAATACAAAAATTAACTGGTCATGGTGGTGGGCGCCTGTAATCCCAGCGACTCAGGAGGCTGAGGCAGGAGAATTGATTGAACCCAGGAGTCAGAGGTTGCAGTGAACCGAGATCACTCGACTGCACTCCAGCCTGGCATCAGAGTGAGACTCCCTCTTAAAAAAAGAGAGACAGGGTCTCATTATGTTGGCCAGTCTGGTCTCAAGGTCCTGCCTTCAAATAGTCCTCCCACCTCAGCCTCCCAAAGTACTGGGATTGCAAACGTGAGTCAGGACTCCCAGCACACGATTTCTTAAAAGCCAGACATTTCCTGCTTTTCCCCTCATAAAGATGAAATTCTCTTTCCTGTGGTGAACATACTGATAAAGTCAAATTCAAGTTACATGGTGTGAAAAGGACTTTCATGCTTGTAGCTGAAACATGGAATTCCTGGGATTGCTGGAGGTGTTGCTGGTCCACCAGGACTTAGCAGGATATTTGTAGTGGGGATTTGGGGTAAGCAGGATAGTGTCCAGTCCTAATCACTGGAACCTGTGTAGAGGCAACAAAGGGGAATTTAGGCTGCAAATCAACATACCTTAAAATAGATTATCCTGAATTACCCAGGTGATCCCGTTGTAATCACAAGGGACCTTAAAAGAGTCAGCCCCAGCCGGGCATGGTGGCCCACATCTGTAATCCCAGCACCTTAAGAGGCCGAGGTGGGCTGATCATCTGATGTCAGGAGTTCGAGACCAGTCTGCCCGACATAGCAAAACCCTGTCTCTACTAAAAACATGAAAAATTAGCCGGGAGTGGTAGCGGGTGCCTGTAATCCCAGCTACTCACAAGGCTGAGGCAGAATTGCTTGAACCTGGGAGGCGAAGGTTGCAGTGAGCCAAGATTGTGCTACTGCACTCCAACTGGGTGACAGAGCAAGACTCTGTCTCAAAAAACAAAAAGAAAAAGAAAAAGAAAAAAAAACAGGTCAGTCCTGGGAGGAGTGGGGTGTACCTGTAACCCAGGGAGAGGGCAAAGAAATGGATTCTCCCTCAGAGCCTCCACAGAGTGCAACCCCCCCGAACTGTAAGATCACAAATGTGTTGAAGCTGCCCTAATTGTGGTCATTTGCTATAGCAACAATAGGAAATAATATGAGATTGTTCCAGAAATCAGGAAATGAATAGTACCTGTGCTTTTTACTAATCCCTTTGGTCTAAAATAATTTTGACTGCTTCCACGTAGGAGCCTGGAAATGTTTGGTGGTAGCAGGACAAAGAGGACAGAAGGAAGAGCTTGGCTTGTGAGGTGAGAATTAGGAAAGAACAAGGAACAAAATGAAAAGTCTGCGTGTGTAGCCAGCAGTCAGGGAGCCTGAATCAGTTCAAATGCGGGCTGACTCCCTCTGATCTGTGGATCCAAAAGAAAGGCAATGTATTAGGCTATTTCATTATTTTCTTTGTTCATTTTCAAATAAATATCTCATATGTTTTAAAGAGCTTGTGTACCATAATTTGTAACTTTTATAATATGCAAATTTTAAAAATTATTTAAATAAAATGTGGATGCCTAGAAATAATAAGTAATATAATGTGCAAGTCAAATTTTGTAGTCCAATGGCAATTTTTGAAAAATATAAATATCACTGTGTTAATAAATGTGTAGATTGAGAACCACTGGAAAAGACTACATCAGTTACTGTTGAAATAAATTTCCAATAAAATGAGATATTTTATTTAAAAATAAAAACAAGCCTGGAAGCGATTTTGATGACGGCCACCAGAGGGCACTGTAACCTTTGCAGAAGATCAAAACGCAGCCATTAAACACTTCCCAGCCACAGGTTTATTTCTTTGAGAAAGCAACACGGCAGGGCAGAAAATGAACACCAGTAGTATATGTTAACTTTTTTTTCCTATGTTATTCTACTAGATTTTTTTTCTTATTTTTATTTTTATCTTACAAGTCAACCTCAAAAACATAAAGCAGGAGAGAAACGAGCCATGCCTCTTTTTTCAGTTTAGAGGGGTAGCTGACACAGAATGAAAGCACAAACTGAAGCTATCGTTTCCACATTAATATCTGGCCCCCAAACACCATGCAGTGCTAAAAGTTACGTTCCCATCATGCAAGCACATTAAAATACATGGCGATTACAACTCCTGGTTTTATTACACGGCATTTACTGTTTTGATGGGGCATGCTTCTTGTTTGAGCTAAAGGTTAAAAAAAAAAAAAAATACAGACCAGTGAAGTCTCCTTACAGCAAGAGAAATATATAAACCATTTCTTGATGAAGAATCCATTTTCAAAGTTTTCCATGTGGTTCTGGAAAGAATTAAGATGTGCAGAAGAGGCAAGGGAATTGCTTCCTGCCTCACGCCACAGAGAAACGCGTCTACTCAATATCTCATTCAAGGAGACTAGTGGCTTTCTGTGAGGGGAGAAATTATCCCCCTTCCCCAGTCCATGTAATGCAGGCTGCAAAAATTTTGTTTTGGGGCCTTTTATTTTTCAATGATGTGTTACAAAACCCTAGACAGGGCAGTTCTCTCCCATTGCTAGGACTCAATTTCTCCTGTGAGGTATACAAGAAAAACTGAAAGAGAAATAAACTGAAAAACCCCAATTGGGTATCATATTTTTGTTAGACTGAAGAAGAAATACCCCCTAAAACTTTATGTGCATATGGCAGTTTTTCTGTACTTAACATTACTCAATCACTTATGTGGCTATATCAAAATACTGTCTTTCGGCTGGGTGCAGTGGCTCATGCCTGTAATCCCAGCACTTTGGGAGGCAAAGGCAGGCGGATCACCTAAGGTCAGGAGTTTGAGACCAGCCTGGGCAACATGGTGAAACCCCGGTCTCTAATATAATATAAAATATAAAAATTAGCCATGCATAATTCCAGGTACTCGGGAGGCTGAGCAGGAGGCAGGAGAATCACTTGAACTGGGAGGCAGAGGTTGCGGTGGGCCAAGATCCCACCACTGCACTCCAGCCTGCGCAACAGAGCAAGACTCCATCTCAAAAAGAAAAATAAAATGTCTTTCTTACTAAGAGTTAATGTGACTATGAATTTAAACATGGCTTAAATTTGGATAGCACTTCTTTTCAAAAGACTTCAAAATATTTCTCTTTAAACCTGTTTCATCTCTGTGACATTGTTGGTGACTGGAATGCTACCTGAGGAAAAGGTCATAATTACATAAAAAGCAATTAGGAGAAGAAGGTCAAAGGACCAGCCTCTCATCACTAAGTTGGGTCTCTGACATCTGACAGCACATGCCTCAAAAGGCAAACAAAATACACACTCTCCATTTCTTTAAATACACGTTTTCCATCCAAGGATCTCACAGCACCTCCCAAGTCATCTAATGTACAGAAGGAAAGAAAAGGAAACACAGCATGATTCGGTTAAACCCCAATTCATAGACAGGCTCCAGCAGGTTGCAGCAGGTCCATTAGAAAGAGAATGTATTCAAGCACAGAGAGGGCCCCTTAGGTTTCAAATGGAGAATTTAGCTTAACAGCCACTAGGGCCAGCCCTGTGCTGAGCGCAGTGTGAGGAAACATTCAGTGCAAGTCAAACTTCTTGGTTCCCCAGTGGGCTGTGCGCCAACAGCAACTTCACAAGGTAACAGGTGAAGTGAGGTGGGGGGTGGAGAGGAGGGAGGGGCAGGGAGCCGCTGGGAGTCTTGAGACTCAAATTCCCGTGTCACCACTAGAGGCTCTGGGCCAGGCACTTCACTGTTATAATCCACAATCATCTCACATGAAGCGTGGGCAGTGGGAGGGGTGGGGGAGCAAAGGGGGCTGAAAACTCACTAATTTGCAAACTACAAAGTGCTGTGTAAATATAAGGCATGGATTTCACATTGAAATCTGACTCCAAACACAATCTGTTTCTCTTTCTTCCTCTTCCTGGAGTCTTTGTAAGCTTATACTTTAGGAGTCTTTCTAGGCCTTTGATCCTATGCTAAGATTTGAGCTGTTGTGACAAAACTAAGAATTCTTAAAAGCAACAGAGGCCCTTCAAATGCAGGCCTCAGTGTGTCTATTGGCAATATACCAACCAGTGAGGGCATCACTTCAGACTCCACTTTGGGTCTACAGGCTAACAATAGAGGGAAAAGGTCCTCTTCACAACCCTGAAGAGGAGTCCTCTCCGAATCCTAATCCTTAGCAGGTGCCACAGATTTGGAACTACGTGTGCTAATTCTCCACTTCCTTCCTGAGTAGCCATGGTTTTATGTCATTCCACGGCTCAAAGGCCCTTTGGGACTGGGTATAGGGGTCTGCGCTTGGACCCCATGAAACTACCCCAAATGCATTTCAGAGGTGACCCAGTCTCAAGAAATGTACTGAAAGTAATCCAGTTTTCCCAATATTCTTTGGACCAGAAAAGTAGCTTGAAGCCAAAAGAGAGAAGTCCATGTCTTCCTACATTGAGTGTCATGGAAAGTGTCACTCACTCTCCCTCTCACTCCTGCCTATCACCCCACCCACCTCTTGGTGACCACAGCCTAAGCTGAGAACTCACAGAAGCCAGCCCTACTTCTAGCACAACCTGATCAAAAGCAAATGAATTTACAGGGGGTAAAACACGAATGAGCAGACAATGGGGCTTCAGAAAGGCTGGTGCAAAACTAAGCAGTTCAATGTAACTCTCACTTTGGAAAGTTCTGCAAAGTAAGCTTTAACTAACAAAGCAAAAACCTCTAGGCTAATGTTCTTGACGTGCCTTTGAAAAATAACTTTAAGACTTGGCTAAGTAATCCCAGGGATCTTTTTTGCCTTTAAGTTGGTGAAACATGGCTTCATGGAAAGCATTCAAAGGTATTCACAAACCCTGGTCAGAAGTTTCTGGAGCTCTTCAATTTAGGAAAAACTGGAAGTCTACAGGTTGGTGTTGCAAACCAAAGAAAAATAGGCGGAAGGGTACTTTGTGTCACACTGTTATTTCCACTATTGTTACGTGTCGTTCCTTCAGTACTCTTTATACTGCAAATCCTAAATAATCCCCCTTCTGGTGTCGGCTAATCACTGAAGGAATCAGTCATTTCCAGGACCAAAAGGTTAAAATCACTGCTCTCTCAAGCCAGCGCATCAGGGTCCAACCTGAGGACCTGAATGTCTCCTCTGTCAGGGCACCACAGGTCAGACTCATATTCAGTACCTTCCCTAGGTGGAGAAGTACCCACATGTTTGCTGGGCCAAATCCATTGGCCTGGCCTCTTATCTTAAAGAGGCTTCTAGTAGTACAACTTGCTTCATGTTTTTTTTTTTTTTCTTAATGCTAAGGTTGCTTTTTGTTTATTTGTTTGTTTACAGAGTATTAAGGCTTCTTAGTAAAGCTTGGGGTAAATATTCAACAACTATTTCCATTTTGTTCGCAGATACAATTCAGGTGGTTATTTCCATTTGAATGTCAAGCCACACTTTGAAACTATAAAGCAAAAGAGGTTATGTCAACAGTTTGTTAGGGTAGGTAGGGCCAGCATGGGTACTTGGTGGGTTGTGGCTATTTTTATGGCGAGAAATATCCATGGTGATTAGTAGGGGAAGACTTTCATACTGTTTCTCTATGAGCTCTCTTTAACACAACAATTCCTAAATTTCTATTAGTCTTTAATGAAAAGATGACATTAGTTGTGTTGCATTTGGTCTAATGTTTTCAGGCATAAATGGCATAAACCTTAAAGTTTATTTAATAGAAAGGATCATCGAAAATGAAAGTCCTTTTCTGCTTAAGAGAGTGACTTACGAGAGATATAGAAACCTAAATCTAAGAGCTCAGGGGAATAGGGGTGGGAAGAAAAATAAAAATTATGAATGCATGCCCCACTTTTTCCCACAAGGTTTCCTGAGCATTCCTCATACAGTATAGTGCAACATCGTAACACTAGTTAATCAACAGTATTTCTATTTTTCTCAAGCTAAAAGTATAGACTCATCAAATATATACTAAGCACAACATATAATAGTATATCATCTTTTAAAACACTAGTAATTTGAATTTCTATAAATATATTTAAATAACAAACATATTATAGATAGCTATTCACATAGCACACAAGTGACATATAAACATACAAAAATAAAACCATCATGTTTAACTCTTTTGTTGTTTCTGTCTGTTGGTTTTTGTTTTTGTTTTTTGAGTAAAGATATTAAAACAATTCCAATGCCAATGTCATCTTGTCAATATGAATTCCAGGCAATCTGGATATAAATTCACACTACGTATAAGAGCTGTAGACATTCTTTGCTGGACCTATTACTATCTCCTACTTTTAGGAAAGCTTGAAGGGAGTAGAGGTGTCCAACTGTGATGAGATGTTTTCTCTAGCTGTTGTAAGGAAAGGAAACATTAATCAGAACCCCTAACCTGCTTAAAGCGTGAAAACACCAAGCTGTCCTTTGAGTGAGTGGAATATGGAACACGCCCCATCCTTCAGCTCTCCCATGCGCCACTGTCTATGAAGTATTTCTCAACACGTGGAAAAGGCACCACCATTCTATACCAAAGACAAGGAATTTTTGTTCTGCAAATGACATTTGTTCTTCCAGTCACTGCTATAGAAAACATTCCTCCACTCAAAAAGCGATTTGGGCAACACAGCTGCTCAGCCAGGTGGAATACATAGTCTTCTTTTGAAAAACAGAATGTTTCCAAGGACAATTATTCCTGGTAAAATTTGATTTCTGTCCATAGCATTCTCTGGAGAGCAAGGAGCAGAAGATACATTTCTCACATCCCACCTAGATCCCCGCATCACCGTGAGCTCCCAGCAGGAACACAAAAAATGCCTTTCAACTGAACTCAATCATTCCAATCTCAATGGATGCGTTATGACTGAAACGAGGGGACCCGCTGTATTTGGGGATTATCTTCATCTAAAGTGCATCTTTAGATGGGGAGCTGATGCTTGAAGGACTGGGTTTCAGTTTTCCTTTTAAGGAAAAACGTAAGTTTTTGCAACATCTTGAAGAGTTGCTTGTGATAAAATGTAAGAGGAGAAAATTCTGATTTTGTCTCAAATGGAATCTTCAACACAGGGAGAAGAAGGTGATTCTTTGAGTTCCTGGGGGCTGTCATCAGGGGCAGGCGTGGCCCGCTGCTGCTGATAGATGTCCTGGATCAGCAGGGTGTTCATGACTTTCCACTCTCTGTATTTCCTGGCTGTCAGCTTCGGGTCATCCAGTAACTGGTTAATCATGGCCAGATCATGTTCTTTACACTGTGCAATAGAAAAAAAGGGGAAGGAGGTGTGTTGAAGTATCTTAATTTACATAAACCATCTTTACCGACTCTTTCACAAGTACACATATGCATTTATCATAAAATTATCAAAGCATTTTTGCATGCCAATATTCTAATTCCAGCATGAAGCCTAAGAGATATGACATTTGTTTACATATGCTAACCAGCCACGAGGAAGTTAAGTATCCTACCCAAGAGTTAGTGGAAGAGCTAAACATGTAGCAAAGGTCTTCTATGTTGCCTTTCTCTGATAAATCCATTATTCCATACCACAGTAACAATGCTACCTTGGTGTGAGAATTATGCCTCCTAAAACTTATCATTGTAGGTGTTAGTACTTCATTAACTATCCAAACTTCACCAAGCAAAATTGGAACATAACACTCTACCTAGGCCATAAGTTAACATGAAATATATCTTTTAAGATTGTATTAAATTATCTTTATTTTTAATAAATCACATTAAGTTAATTAATATACACCAAATAAATACACAGGTTATCTTTTTAGTCAAAGAAGAGGCTATTAACCTTCCATGAAAATGGTATGTATGCCAACAAAGCTAATAAACAACCTATTAGTGCTATTCCACTCTGTCTCCTCTGTAACCAATGGCACACATTTCTGAAATGTCTAGCTCAGGTTACAGTTTTCTATAGACAAGGAACGGAGTAAATATAAGGTGTTCATCCTCCATATTAAAAACAAATATTCAGCCCAACAATTGTGTTTCAAATCTACACCTGTTTTCTCCATCCCATGCCCAGAGTCCTAAGCTTGGATATCCAGTTCAATATATCACACCTGATCTGCTGCCACAGCCTCTTGAGTGAGATCATTGCCTGCAACGCCCACTTGAACTCCACCTCCACTTAGCAGAGCAGGGATGTATCTAAATGCCGAGTCCTCCTCATGGATCCCCTTACGCCCAAGGCGCCTCACCTGCACTGGCACCATTGTGGAAACTCTGCTTCCTTCTGACTTTCCAGTCTAATGTACTGGTGTGCATTTTCTCACTCACACAGTGGCTCACACCTCTGTGCCATTGTACCACATGGAGAATCTTCCTTGCCTTTCTTCACCTGATAAACTCTAATTTCTAGAGTTTCTTTTATACAGAACACTTTCCAATCTTTCTTTACCCAATTTTTTAAGTTTATTTATTTTCATTTATTTATTTTTTTTGAGACGGGAGTCTCAATCTCTGTCGCCAGGTTGGAGTGCAGTGGCGCGATCTGGGCTCACTGCAACCTCTGCCTCCCGATTCAAGTGATTCTTGTGCCTCAGTCTCACAAATAGCTGGGATTACAGGGATGTACTACCATACCCAGCTAATTTTTGTATTTTTAGTAGAAACGGGGTTTCCCCATGTTGGCCAGGATGGTTTCAATCTCCTGACCTTGTGATCTGCCCACTTCAGCCTCCCAAAGTGCTGAGATTAAAGGCGTGAGCCACTGCACCCGGCCTTTATTTATTTATTTTTTGAAACACAGTCTCCCAGGCTGGAGTGCAGTGGCCCAATCTCATCTCACTGCAACCTCCACCTCCCACGTTCAAGCAATTCTCCTGCCTCAGGCTCCCGAGCAGTTGGGATTACAGGCATGCACCACCACGCCTGGCTAATTTTTGTATTTTTAGTAGAGACAGGGTTTCACCATGTTGTCCAGGCTGATTTCAAACTCATGATCCACCCGCCTCAGCCTACCAAAGCACTGGAATTACAGTCATGAGCCACTGCGCCAGGCCTACCCAATTTTTCATAACCCATACGTCTATACTCATTTAAGGCATCACATTATCCAGGAACCTTCCCTGTACTCCCAACATTGGACTAATAAGCTTTTAAGTTTTTATGTTCTCATGCCTTCCAATATTGTGAAACCCTCTGAGAACTTACTAAGGTACATTTAGGTACTTATGGATGAATCATGCTACCTCTTCTAAAGCTTAAAGATGACAAGAAACATTTCTTTCGTCCCTGTGTTCCCTGCACTTAACACAATGCCGAGCGCCATGCAGACATTCAATTCCTGCGTATGATTAAACTACCCTTTTTGACTATCCCCAGAACAGCATGTGCGAAGCTAAAACTTTACAACCACCGCCAATAAGTGAATTTTCACCACTCTTGGGTCATCACCCTTTCACATCCCTTTTCTGGGAGTCTCCCAAATGACGATTTCAAAATCTCATCTCAAACCCCCTCTCTCATCCTCACTCACAACTGACAGCCTTACTCTCTCTTTTTTGAGGAAATGGAAACCATCAGAAGAGCACTTCTCCCAAGTTCCTGTTGCCCACGAATGACATGGATGCAAATCTATGCTGCCTTCCCTACTGTTCACAGAGACGGAGCATCTGTGCTCCTAGCAAAGGCCAGTCTCTGCGCTTCAGCACAATGGCCCCCGCTCTCCTACTCAAGAAATTCATCCCAGCAACTCTCTTCTCTCCTGTGACTCACCAACTTCCCAGCTTCCCTCCAGCAGTCTCACTGGCATACATGTTCACTGTTATTTCTTCTGTCTTCCAAGTCCGCTCTGCCCCCAAATCCCTGTCCAGCAAATGCTCCATTTTCTCCTTGTCTCCAGTGGCCCATTCTTTCACATATTCACTCCCTCTGGGCTTTGGCCCCCACCATTTACCAAAACTGCCCTCGTGAAGACCATCAGTGACCTCCATGTTGTTAAATCCAATAATCCATTAAATCAATGTTAAACAGAAGCCCCTAAAATGACTGACTACTCCTCCTTTTTGAACACTTCCGTCATTGTGCCTCTGTGACACCTTCTCCTGATTTGTCTCATTCCACAATGGCTACTTACTCTCACCTCAGTTGCTGTTTCCCCTCATCACACCACCTCTTCTCACTGGGGTGTTCCAGAGCCCCGGCTTAGAGCCTCTTCTCTGCTCTGTCTATATTCACACTCTTGGTAATCACATGCAATCTCTCCCACTCTCCCTATGTGCTGATGGCCCCCATTTATATCTCTTTTTACTTCTCCCCTGGACTCCATAATCATTTGTCTAAACTTCCCCTTCAGCAGTTCCACATCAACCCCGAAGAGGCATCTCAAAAACAACACGTCCAAAGCTAAGTTCCTCTTGTTCCCTGCATTCCCACCCACCCACTAACTTCTAATACACACCAAACCCTGTTCCCACCGCAGTCTTCCACAAAGCACTGAGTGGTAGTAACTCCACCTTTCCAACTGCTCAGGCCAAACACTGGAGTCATTCGTGACTCCTTCTATCACACCCAATCCACCAGCAAATCCTGATGGTTCTACCTTCAAACATGACACAAAGCATGACATACCTGTGTTCAGAACCTTCCAAAGGGTCACTGTCCTACTCTGAATAGAAGCTGGTGTTTGCAATGGCAATGAGGCCCCCTATGGCACGAGTCCCTGCTGTCCCTCTGGCTCACTGCTGCACCCTCTGTGCTCCATCCCCACTACATTCCAGCTAACTGACCTCATTGCTCTTCCTTAAATGCCCAGACACACTCCCACCCCAAGGTGTTTCCATTTTTATTCCTTTTGCCTGCAGCATTCTGTGTCAGAAAACCTCAAGCCTCATTCCTTTTCCTTTTCCATATTTTACACAAATTATGTCTTTTAAAGAGGCCTTTCATGCCTTTCCTAATTAAATATCAATTCCTCAACATTTTCTATCCCTCTCTTTTCTATTCTTTATCAAATCTATCATCACTTATCATATTATAAAATTTACTAGTCAATTATGTTTATTCTCCTACTAAAACATAAGCTTTAGGAAGGCAGGCCTTTTGTCTGATATGCCCACTGCTAGAGCCCCAAGTGCCTGAAAGAATGACTGAAACATGTAGATATTCATTGAATACCTGTCAAAAAATGAGTATATAAAATAAAAAATAAATGAATTACCCATTTGCTTTTTATTCTCTTTTGCATTCTGAACCATATTTGGAATCTGAGGAAGTCCTTTCCATTAAACAAACAAACTAGACATTGATTGATTGATTGATTGGTAGGTAATTAGTTAAATAGATAGATGATAGATACTAATAGCTAGACAGCATGACAGATAAATAGATGATAGATAGATAGACAGATAAACAGATGGATAGACAGACAGACAGATGGATAAAGATAGGAAGCCTTCCTTCCAAAACAGAGAAAAAACAGTGCATAGCAAAATACAGGGATTGTTTATAGAAAGTCAGGCCGGGCCAAAAGAGCAAATTGCTTCTCTCTGAGTTTTCAGTGTCTATGCTTCAAAAACAACTTTTCCAAAAAACCAAAAAAAAAAAAAAAAAAAAAGCTTTCATCCTCTGATATCATCACAGTGCTATTAATATAAAGTTATTTAAGGTGTTTTATTTTGTTCTAAAGAAATTTAGACATCTGCTTCAGAGGAAGATCCTAATTCATCATATTAAAAAACTAAATAAGATCTCTGAAGATTAATAAAAATTGGGGAAACTGTCTTTGAAAAGGCAAACATAAATTAACCGCTCTTTATATCTAATAACATTTTTAGAAAAGGGTCTCTTCCACTTTGGGCATTAAGCTGACACTTCTCACATGACTTTTGGCTTTAAGTAGTTCAAATGTTTTACCACTTGGCTCAAATCTGTGTTAATTCTTTTATAGATGAAAGAAAAAAATGTAGACAATAATACAGAAGAAGGGAATTAATGAAACAACAGAACGCTCCAAGCTCGTTCCTACACCAGGCACCCCTGGGCTGAGCCTTGTCCAGCAGGCCAGCTTCTCCTGGATGGCGCAGGAGGCTTTTGGAGGGCTTTGAACTGCTTTCGCAACATCCGCCCTGCTTTCTGGTAGGCAAGGAAAGTTTGGCAAGGATTCCAAAACTATCATGAGAGTGCTATACTTTCAGTTTTTACTCCAAATAGTGCATTGGCTCAAGACTTAAGCATTGGAAATATGTTCCACCAGAGCAGTTATGGGGAAGGAGGGCTCATTGCTCTTTTGACATAGGCCAGAGTAACTCAGAGAGAGTTTCGGTTGGACCCATTAATTATTCCACTAATAATTTATTTTAAAATAAAAACAGGCTTGGCCACAAGTCAGTGAATGTTGAACTCCTGGAAATTACTAAATATCTACATTTGGTGTAAAACATAATACGATCAACTTTTGCTCAGATTCAGCTTGGAAGTTTGCTCAACTTCCTAGAAGAATTTCCCTGAGGTGCAATCATTCCAGTAATATCCCAATGCTGGGATTTTTCTTATTTATAGAATGTGTCTACAGCAAATATAAACATTATTGTTAAAACAGTTTCCTAGCTTTTGCATGAAACTCTGTTGTCTTTGCTTGTCCACACTCCTACTTTGAAGTTTTTAAAAAACAAACATTTCCTCCATGTATGACATATTCTCTGTGCCATGTATCATACACAGAGAAAAGCGCACAAATAGAAAAGTTAGTGCTTAAAGAATTATCACAAAATAAACCCTTCCCTACAACTCTTAACAAGGTCACAGAAGGACCCATACCCAGAACTCAGAAGCTCCATTTGCTCCCCTTCAGTCCCATTCTCTCTTCTTCCTCAAAGGAAACCACTCTCTTGACTGCTTTGAATTTTAAAAACAGTGAGAAATAATTATACCCTTCCAACATGAACACGAATACATGTATCAAGTTCTCTCTCTCCTTTGAATAGTTTGATGTGTTTTGCTTTTGTTTGGCTTCTTTGGCAAGGCCAATTTCCACATCAACATGTCCTCCTGCCTCCTGAGGTTACAGGACTGCCTGACGTGGGTCCTGTTACATTTCATCAGTCCCCAGCACTATGCTCTGAGGAGGCCTGAGGGACCTGTGGAAAGGGCTGCTTCCCACACATGTCCAGAGAGAGCAGTTCCCCAGCAGCATGCGGCAGGCAGCCCTGAGTGGGCCCCCAGTCTTCTCTGCTTCCTGGTATCCAAGGCCTTGTGTAACTCCTCCCTGAAAACGAGATGACCTAATGACTTCCTTCTACTGAATAGAATACTGCAAAAGTAATGTGATGTCATTACTGCCACTGGCTCATAACCCAGCTTGCTCACCCACTCTCATTGTGTTGCTTGCTCTGAAGAAGCCAGTTGTGAGCTGCCCTATGGAGAAACCCCTGTGGCAAGGAACTGAGGGTAGCCGCTGGCCTACAGCTGGACAGCAACCGAGACCCTCAGTCCAACAACCTGAAAGCAACTGAATCCTCCCAATTAACTAGAGGTGAGAGCTTAGAAACTAATCCCTCTCTGTGGAGGAATGAATGCAACCCCAGCAGAAACCTTGATCACAGCCTTGTGAGAGACTTAGGGGCAGAGGCATTTGACCAAGCCACACCCAGATTCCTGGCCACAGACACTTTGAAATAATAAATGCTAATTGTTTGAAGTTGCTAAGCTTTGGGATACTTTGTTACTTAGCACTGGATAACCGATACACTGGCAGAAAAGCCTCGGCTGCTGACTTCACCACTGACATAGTCATAGTGCACAGAGTGTATGAGGTCACAGAGACTCATAGGGAACAACAGGTAACATTAATTGTTTTCACAAACTTGGGCCCCCGGCAGCCAGGTGAGGGCATGGTGCGGTAAAGATCTAGAATCCTGAGTCTGCTGCTCTATGGAAGGCCTGAGGCCACAATCTTTCTCCTAGTAATGACTCAAACCTCTCCTTGGCCTCTACTTCCCGCTTCTCCCAACACGGACTACAACTATTACCCATTGACAGATATTCCACTTCCTTGTACGTCCTTCCCTTGGCATTCATTTCTTCCTGACTCACCGACTTCGTGACATTGTTCTTAATGCCCCCAGTAAGCCACTTTCCCCCTCTGGGCCACCAAAGCACCCTGAGCACATCTCAACCACAGTATTTTTGCACTTCATTTTAATCACATATTCGTTTTCCTCTGTTTCTACCCCCAGTAGAGTCCATGCAGTGGTCCCAGTCACCTAGAATAGTAAGAGTCAGGAAATACTTGCTCTATGAAATATTTACTCACTCATATCAGCTATCACAGACAAAGAAGACAGCAAAATCTCAACACACTATGACATACTACATTGAATAATCAAACATATTCATTAGCTTTGTACATACTGTGGAATGATGGCCAGTGATATCTTTTATTATCATTAAAAATTTTAATATTAAACAGGAATGACTCTCTCTGCATTTGTATTTTCGCTGTATAATTAAAATTCAATTTTCCTCTTCCATTCCAGCCTCATTTTTGCAGTTTTTCAGGGCATTTAGATGTTCTACTAACTAACTGGGACGTCTGACTAACAGCCACTCAGCCTGCCTTTGTAGCCTTGTCCTTTCAATGGCTGACATTTCTTCCTGGAAAATGACTCAAGTTCTTAATGCCAACAGCCATATACAAAACAAAATTCACTTGCAGAATCCATCAAAGCTTTTCAGATAAATCGTCTGCTAAATCAGGACTATTTTACAAAATATCCTGGCTTCCACCTGTTCATGTTATAATCTAAATGTGAAAGCAGGACACTTGTTATGAAGAACCATTTCGGCTCAGGGATGCCCTGAAAATAGCTTCAGTACTTCCTGTACACTGTCCCTTATTCCCATTGTGAAAACATCTGCTGGTCTATTACCACAAAGCATGTACATCCCACTGTGGGGCTCTCACGGTGCTTCCTGGCTAGAGCCCCCACAGCTGACAGTCACTAAGTCTCTGCTGTAGCTGAAATCAAGACATTTTCTTCTCGCTATAGTCCAGGAGAATGGCACCCTTGCATGAATGACATGAAAACTGGAGATCTTATTTATATGACTGTTTCTTCTTACCAGTGGATGATCTCTGTCTCTCATCAACATTTATTGAAGCAGGTACTATACTAGGTATAAGGGTTACAAAAACAAATTATGCATGGTCCTTGCTGTCTATGGGATTAAAATTTAAAATTTTATATCAGAGTGAATGCAAAAATCAAGGCCTATTGTGAAAAACTGACTTGGGCGCTACTGTGTGCACGTCCTCGTGCTTTAAGACTGTCAAGGTCATCACGCCCTATGAAGATTACATTTACTTTCACAGCACCCACACAAACAAGCTGTGATTAGCAAGAATCTCTCTGCAGAACCAGCCATGTCTTGCCCCACATCTGTAGAGTTCATCCACGATTTGAAATTTTGTTACCTTTAATGTGCTATTCAACGTTCGGATTTTGTGGAGTTTCTCGTTGATGGATGGATTTTTACACCGCTTAACAAAGGATTTTCTCAACTCCTTTTTAGTAGAAGGTCGTCGGTCCCCAAGAGGAGATAGACTAGCTTGCTCTAATGATTTGTATAGCTTCTCCATTTCGTCATCTTCAGACACTTTTGTCTCTTCTATTTGGAAAAAAAAGAAAAAGAAAGAAAGCAATAACAATAAACCCAGGAAAAAATCAAGGAGAAAACATTCAATACTGTGGTCCTAAAGCACAGCCCTGAGGGCACCTTCATCTCAGACGTCTTTCCAGAACTGAAAGACAATAAATGTTTGCTGTCTAAGCCATCTAATTTTCGATATTTTGTTACTGCTGAGCCATGTGCCCTCTGAAGGCACCAGGGAAGGAGTTATTTCTCTCTTCTGGCTTCAAGTGGGATTACGGGTGTCAGCCACCACGCCCGGCCTGCCCTCATTTTAACATGTTAAATCTGCAACAAATCCATTTCCCAATAAGGTCACATTCTGAGATATTAGGGGTTAGGACTTCAACATATAAATTTCACTCTTTTTTTTTTTTTTTTTTTTTGAGATGGAATTTCACTATTGTCGCCCAGGCTAGAGTGCAACAATCCCTACTCACTACAACCTCAGCCTCCAAGGTTCAAATGATTCTCCTGTCTCAGCCTCCCAAGTAGCTGGGATTACAGGCACCTGCTACCATGCTTGGATCATTTTTGTATTTTTAGTAGAGACAGGGTTTCACCATGTTGCCCAGGCTGGTCTCGAACTCCTGACCTCAGGCAATCCACCCGTCTCAGCCTCCCAAGGTTGCTGAGATTACAGGCGTGAGCCACCACACCAGCCCAACATATGAATTTTAGACACAATCCAACCCATACATAGCCCACCCTCCAACCTCCCAAATTAATGTGTTTCTCACATGCAATACATCCACCTCATCCCAACAACTTGAAAAGTCTTAACCCATTCCACCATCAATTCTACGACCGAAAGCTCATCCAAATATCATCCAAGCCAGGTGTGGTGGCTCACGCCTGTAATCCCAACACTTTGGGAGGCTGAGGTGGGCAGATCACCTGAGATCAGGTGTTCAAGACCACCCTTGGCAATATGGTAAAACCCCATTTCTACTAAAATACAAAATATTAGCCAGGCATGGTGGCACATGCCTGTAATCCCAGCTACGTGGGAGGCTAAGGCAGGAGAATTGATTGAACCCGAAGGTGGAAATTGCAGTGAGCTGAGATCACCCCACTGCAATCCAGTTTGGGCTACAGAGTGAGACTCCATCTCAAAAAACAAAATCAGAAAAATTATCATCTAAGCCAGGTATTGGTACAACTCAGTGGGGGAGTAATTCATCCTGAGGCAAAATTAATCTCCATCTTTAAACCCATACAAGTAGACCAATATCGGCTCTAAAATACAATGGTGGGACAAACATACCCTAGCAAAGTATACCCATGCTAAAGTTTAATTACTACTGCCCTAGTTGATTTCTTAATGTCCTTCCCAGACCTACCCTTTGAGAGAGGAAACGTGTCTGTGGTCTGTGGTTTTAAATAGAAAGTGATCTTCCTCATCTTGCCACACAGACTCCATCTCCCTTCCCAGGCGCACTTTGCCAGCCTCGGCCCACATGACTGCAGTGAAGTGACTCCACCACAGGATCTACTGGAGATCATACAGACTAGACGAGGCCAATGGCAGTTCCACCATTCTGGCCACAGTCATTGATTCAGAGATGAACAAGTGTCTCTGGTCAGGCCATCCGGGCCCAGGACGACTCAGTTCCAAGATTTTAGTTTGGATATCAGATAAGTAATCTCTCTTTTTCTTCAATTGAATATTGTGATAATGTGAGCTGGATGCTTCCAGGAAGTATGCCCAGAATAATGATACTGGAGGCAACCCATTCTGAGACACAGATCTTTATGATGCCATTGGAGCCCTCTTGGCCTATGGGAGCTAATATGTTACCCATATTAAGCTACCCTGGGTTCGGTTTTCAATCACAGGCACCTGGATGGGCCTCAAATGATACAGAGATTACTCAAAGAAAATCTTCATCTCTTGATGTTGCTTCAATTTCTAAGAATGACAGTCTGTTATTCCTTTATTCCCTGAAAATAAGCTTGGGAATGAAACACAATGAGATTTCTTTTTCCACTACATACTCCTTAGTGTTTATATGTTTCACTTCCTGTCCAAAGAACCAGCTTGAAGGAGGACTCTACAGAAAGTATGGCATTAGAGGAACTAGAAAAACAGCCTCTCCACAGGGTGGAGAAAAGCGTTTAATGGGAAACTAGGAGCATCAAAACCAAGCAAACTTCACATATCTTAGCGTTTACTCCTCTACCATTAGAAATATTTAAGCAAGAATCAGTTTCCTCTCGTCTATCCCAGAAAGTCACCGATATTCTTTCATAAAATGGAAAGCAAAGATGATGTACTAACTTCGTAACTGACTTAAAGTGTTCGTCACCACAACCTCTTTTTTCTCTACCAAATCATCTCATAAAAAAGGGAAGAAAATACTCAAAACTACATCTGAAGACAATTAGACTTTTGGCTCAGGCCATGTGCAGACATCAGAAGTGGGCTTTTGTCAATAAGCACATGAAAAGATGCTCAATATCATCAGTCATGAGGGAAAGGCAAGCCAAAACCACAATGAGATGTCCCTTCACACCTATCAGGATGGCTACAATTAAAAATACACGACAGTAGAAAGTGTGGGTGAGGATGTGGATAAATTGGAATCCTCATACATTGCTAGTGGGAAGGTAAAACAGAGCTGCTACTTTTATTTTACTTTATTATTCATGTTTTAAAGACAGGGTCTTGGTCTGTCACCTGAGCTGGAGTGCAGTGGCAGAATTATAGCTCATTGCAGCCTTGAACCCCTGGACTCACTAAATTATCTGGCCTCAGCCTCCCAAGTAGCTGTGACTACAGGTGCATGCCACTATAATCAGCTAATTGGAGCTGTCACTTTAGAAAGTAGATTGTCCATTTCTCAAAATGCTAAACATGGAATTTAGCTTGTGCCCCAGCAATTCCACGCCTACGTAAATCCCCAAGAGAATTGAAAACACATCTTCACACAAAAATTGTACATGAATGCTCTCAGCAGCATTGTTCCTAACAGACTAAAAGTGGGAAGAGCCTAAATGTTCATCAGCTGATGAAAAGATAAACAAAATGTGGCATTTGCATGCAACAGATTATTCAATAATTGAAAGACATAAAGTACTCAATTATCCATTATCCACAATACCATAATGTGGGTGAACCGTGAAAACATTTTGCTAAGTAAAAGAAGCCAGTCACAAACAACCACATATTATGTGACTCCATTTATATGAAATGTCCAGATTAGACAAACCCACAGAGACAGAAACTAGAATAATAATTGCCTGGGGTCTGGGAGAGGACAAGCGGGAATGAGGAATGGCAGCTAATGTGTACGGATTTCTTTTTGTGATGCTGAAATGTTCCAAAATTGGATTGTGATGACAGTTACAGAACTCCAAATATACTAAAATCCACTGAACTGTACACTTTTATGTGTGAGTTTTATGGTCTGTGAAATATACCTCAATAAAGTTGTAAAAAAGGAGTCATTTATGAGATTGTCGTGAGAACTGGCACTACACAGCAGAAATACTAAGCATGGCCACAGTCCTGGGGTTAAGCTGGAGATACTGGAAAGTCTTAAGGAAGTTAAGTGGAAAGAAACCTGACTTCCAAAGGGGACATTAGGATTGAGGACTTGGAGTTTTCAGTTTTCAGACACAAAGTAATTTTACGTGTCCTCTTTTTTTTTTTTTTTTCTTAAATACAGCTTGCCAGGTAGAATTCTACTTAGATTAAGGCATAAACACATAGCTTTCAATACCACAGTACTTTTGAATTAAGGAATATATATTTAACAAACATCAACTAGCAAACAAGAGTATGACAAAGATAAATAGAATGGTTTTTTTACATTTCTGTGTGTTCACCAAGTAGCTAATTGTGCTACCAAAGATTGTGATAGAAAACAACTTACCAATTGAGCCACTAAAAGAAACAAATATTTTTGACTAACACATTTCATTTGTAATTATGTCAGAGTAACAATTATTACATTAAAATCACATATTTAAAATCAATAGACATTAAATCAATAAAGATAAAAGTAACTTTAGAATCTTGGGATAACATGGAATAGAATATGTTCCCTACATGAAAAATAAATGGAACTTCCTTTTGGATAGCTTTATTATTATTTAATATATTTACATGAAGATATATGATCTTTATGTTAAAAATATCAAAAGGTATCTTCCTCCCCCTCCTCCATTTCTTTTTCTAACTTAAACTTTGGGATGGGCAGCTGTGTACATGTATATAGAATTTGATCTTCCAATAAATATTTAAACTTTAAAATTAACAAACAAATAAAGTGAACCTTTTGTAGCAACCAGACGTGAAAACAGAATTCATCTAAAATTCACATATTAAGGTCAAAGAAAAAGAACATCTTCTATTTGAATTCATCCAAAAATGAGATAATGGCAAGAAGTATGTATGTTCAGACAGGATTAAAGCTGTGGAGGAAATGAGGAAAAAATGAAAGGCAAATTATCACTCAGCTTCCTGCCTCTCGGGCATCCCTCTCTCCTCAGAGAAAGCCTGGAACTGAAAGACTGTGTCTGACCTCTAATAACCTGATTCCAGAATCAAACACAAGCATAAAACAGTGAAAGAATAAATGCTGATGTTAGGAGACAAGAAAATACCCTTACTGGCTTTTTTGTGTGTCATAATCTAAGGGGTCTATAACATATCACTAAACACACAGGGGATGCACCTGTGCCCCAATTCCATGACCCAGTCAGGGACATTATATTGTTTTCATTGTTGCTGATGGCTGGTGCTTAGGTCTTCGCAGGGCCATACAATGAACATCCAATAATAATGGAAGTAGGTGATAAGTAGGATCACAGGACAAAAAAGGACCCAAAAGGTACAGGTGCAAAACAAAACACAGCTTCTACCTGACCCCAAAGCAAATGGGAGGATCCTTCTCAACTGCCATACTAAGACTACTACAGGCTTATCAAATCTTTCTAGCCACCCTTGTAACCCCAAGAGGGTTTTGAGTAAA